TCGGTGATTATCGTGAAACTGGCTATGCATTATGGCGTCCAAACCACTATGCATAGTCACATGGAACGCTTGCTCGTTAAGAGCAAAACCCATCGAGCTTGCGGACTTCCTCCGCAAGCATACCATCGACGTGGGCCTCCTCCCCACCTCAAGTCCGGCGACAGTTGCTGGTTACCGGACCACTACATCATTCGGCTTGATCGTACCAGCTCCAGGGGTGGTGGTGTTGCGATCATCGTCAGAAAGGGGATAAAATACCGCAATCTCTCCCATATCCGCACCTCTATCATCGAGGCCCTTGGTATGGAGGTGGAGTCGGCGAATGGATATGTTAAATGGATTCATCGCCGTCTACTACCCTCGACAGTGTGCCACCAGCAGCGGACTAGCGGCTAAGTTCAAGAAAGACCTGTCCATCATCACCCGGACCGGTTCCTGCTTCGTTGTTGGAGGAGATCTGAATGCTCGCCATGAGGCCTGGCGGAACTACCAGCAGAACCAGAACGGTCGTCTGCTATTCGACCATTAGCTGCATGGGCTGTACTCCGTTTGGTTCACGGACGAGCCAACATTCATCTCACCGGCAGGCCACCAATCGACACTAGACCTGTTTCTCACAAATACCGGCTTGTCCAAGCCGGTAACCTTGAACGAACTCAGCTCCGACCATCAACCGGTGGTGGCTGAACTGGGATATAACGTAGCTCCTGCTCCAAGCCTGCGCAAGGACTACCATCGCGTAAACTGGGCCCAGTTTGGACGCGTGGTAGACAGGCACATCATCGACAACCCGCCGCTTGACTCCGTGGAGGACATCGACCGAGCGTTGGGGGGACTTCACCATGCCATAACCGTGGCTGACGAGGCGTGCGTCTGACGAGCTTCTGTGAGAGGTAAGTTTATTGCCATTGATTCCCACACCCAACTATTGATTCGACTGAGAAATGTTCGTAGACGCCAGTTCCAAAGAACCGGAGATCTAGCGTGGAAACGTGAAATGGCCGATCTGAACAAGGAGATTGCTTCCAGAATGGTCTCACTCCGGAACGAAAGTTTCGGGCGGCTCATCCAGAATCTGGACGACCGCTCCAGATCATTTTGAAAGGTTGCCAAGGTCCTAAAGGCGCTCCCCAAACCCATTCCTCTACTCAAAGATGAAAATGATGACGATCGGCTCATAATCACCCCTCAGGAGAAAGCAAATGCGATTGGTGAGTATATTGTGAAATCGCACTTGCTTGGCTTCAACATCCAAAGTCCGCTCGAAGTTCAGGTTGCAATGCGTACTCAACCTTGATTCCTCCCCTTGTGCCATCCCTCCGGAGAATAGAATCAGAGCGGAACAGATTTGCTCAGCGCTGAAATGCACCAAGAACATGAAGGCCCCCGGGTTTGACGGAATATTCAACCTAGTGTTGAAAAATCTCAGCATGAAGGTTCACTCTCTGCTGGCTGCTGTCTTCAACAGATGCTTGGAACTGCACTACTTTCCAAGTATCTGGAAGACAGCGAAAATCATACCTATCCACAAACCCGGAGAGGACCCAACGCTAGCTTCAAGCTACAGACCAATCAGCCTCCTTTCAGCGCTGAGCAAATTGTTCGAGAAACAATCGTTTGCTCAAGTTTCCAAAGTAACAAGGCTGTATCCAAGTCTACTAATTTTTTTCTACCAGAAATGTTCAATAAAGCTTTCCCCTCCATTCACCAGAACTGGGCAATTTTTACATCAGGAATATTCAATTCAGCTTGTCCCTTCATGCAGCAGATTGTTGCAAATCTTACACCAGAAATTTCCAATACAAACTTTCCCCTAGAAAATTTCCGATGACCATAACGATGCAAATTTTCCACCGTTATTGTTCAATAAAAATTGCTTCTCCAATCTTCTGATTGGTGCAGATTTAATTTTTCTATTTTCCACCAGACATTTTCAATATAGCTTGCTTCTCCTTTCATCAGAATGTTGCAGGTTTTCCACCAAATAAAGCTTGCCCCAATTTTCAGATTTTCCATCATAAATGTTCAGTGAAGCAGCTTCTCTGGTGCAAATTTTACAGTAGAAATTATTATTAAAGTTTGTTTCTCTATTCAGCTGAAGGATACAAATTTTAGACCAAATTTTTTCCGAAAAGCTTGCCCATCCGTTTACGATGCAGATTTTCCACCAGAACGGTGCAGATTTTCCACCAGAAATTTTAAATATAGGTTAATTTGCTTGTGCCTTCATTTACCAGACCAGTGCATGTTTTCCACCAGAAATTTTCTGTTCATTTCATTAATCTGAGCGATGCAAATTTCGCACCAGAAATTTTCAATTAAGCATGCTCTTCCAGAACGGTGCACCAAAAATTGTCAGTGAAGTTTGTTTCATCATGCACCTTTGTGGTGCAATTTTCAGGCTTGACCTCTTCATGCACCATAATGGTGCAAATTTTCCACCATAAATCTTCAATGAAGCTTGCATTCATCAAAACGATGCAAATTATGCACCAGAAAATTGAATAAACCTTGCTTCTACATTCACCACAGTGTTGCGAACTTTCCACCAGAAATTTTCAGTTAGATGTGCATCTCCAAATGTTTATCGTGATTATTTTTTTCCACCAGAGTTATTCATTTTGATTAGTCCCTCCACGCACCACCTTGATGATATTTTTACACCAGAAATATTCAATAAAAAGTTCGGATGTAAAAGGTAATAATAAAAGGTCGGAATGGTTCCAAAACTACGAGAACTTGCTTTGCGTTCGGATACTTGGCCAGATGGGATTTTGTTCCGTGAATTCGAGAACACAAGTTCAAAAAACATGTGGTGGCCTCGTTTGAACACGCCGACCATCACAATCTCTCCTGTTCCGAGTCCTTTGCATTATTCCACTCCCATGCAAAGTTGCATGCATTGCTGCACAATCGAAGCTGCAGCGTCACTTGATGAAGTCGATTCACAATTCCTGTAAACCAGAACGCATTGCCTTTCGCACTATGGGGAACCTCGTTCCACTCGATCTGGCGGCGTACGCTGTTTCCAGTCATCATAGTCGTTCTGACCCTGCGGTCGAGTATGACAGTGAGATCCCCCAAACATCATGTTCAGGCAAGTATGCTTCCATTAGCTACAGGTATTTGTTACGCCCCTAGATACCGGATCCTTCATCGACTTCCTCCAATTGAGTAGCATTTCTGTTGCCAACGGCATTGAACAACCACTGTACAGCATGAGTCACCTAGCTTCACGCCCGGGACGCACTATGGACTGCTGATTCCTGCCAACGCTCATCACAGTCGTTCCGGACCTGTGACTAGATGTGGATCAGTGGTCTTCCAGCTTGCTTCAACAGGCAAGAACAAATGTGATCAAATAGAATTCTTCGTCTGATATGCCTTTAAGCTACATCACGTCTTACATTTCCCATGTTGCTTATTCCAATCCTGAACAACACGGTCTGCAGTCCACCGGTTGTGGCATACATTACAACACCGATTCTGAATATACTGCACCGAATCGTAGCTGCCACGTTTCTGAAACTGTAAGCCCAGAACGCATTGCTTGCCGTCCCATGGAAGCCCCTAAGCCTCTCAACGTAGTCATGTTTACTGATTCCTGCCACCATAGTCGTTCTGACCCTGTGGTTGAGAACGGTGAAGGGGTCTTCCAATCTTCGATTTCAGGCAAGTATGCATTTATTGAAAAGAATTCCTCGCCTGATCAGCCTCCACGTTTCAGCGCTATATCTTCGTCACTACCGACTGAACGTTGCCTTTCCAATTGCCAACCTATGTTATCCGATGGACTTTTTTTTTATTAATTAATTTATTTGTACAGGCTCAATCTAATAAACTTTACAGAGCCAAGTTATCATTTGCGTTATACATAATTGATGTCTTAAATCTAGATTTAAAGGAACTGAACCGATTACTCGCGGTCATCTCGAGGTTAGTAGAGATTTACAGTTTTATGGATGGGGAGAGGAAGGAGGAGGTTTGAGTTATGATTTACGATACAAATATTTCATTATTCCTAAAACATAAACTTATTCCTATTCAATTTGGTATCCACAGTGTAACATTAAAATAAAAACCCACACGAACAAAACAAAAACTAAACACAAGGTAAGTCAAACTTACAATCTAAGGTTAATCTTAAAGGTTATTCTTAAAGAAAACATATATAAGTTTCATAAACTCCAGATCGCGTCTACCAAAAATATCTCGAACTGGAACATTAGGTTGTCTACCTCGAGCCCGAAGGGAATCGTACAGTTCAGATCTGACTCCGCGATGCTCAGCACAAGACCAAATCATGTGATCGGCGTCTTGGTAACCTTGTCCACATTCACAGAGATTGCTGTCCTCCAGCCCAACACGGAACAAGTGAGCGTTTAACGAATAGTGATTGGACATGAGGCGAGATATCAGACGAATGAAGTCTCGACCCACATCCAACCCCTTGAACCAAGGACTCTTCGACACCTTAGGGATGATCGAATATAGCCATCGTAACAAACTTCCTTCGCTCCATGTATTCTGCCAGCTGACGAGTGACTGTTGACGATAAATGAAGAAAATTCATCGTAGGCGATTTGTCGATCGTAAATATCGCTTTCCATAGCTCCCACCTTAGTATGCGATGGACTTGTGGTGTATTATCAAAATGTTCGTGGCTTGCGAACTAAGTTTGATGACTTATTCTTGACTGCTGTTGAGTCCAACTACGATGTAATAGTTCTTACCGAGACCTGGCTAGATTATCGAACTTACTCAGCACAATTATTTGGCAGTATGTTCTTAGTTAGAAAGTTTATCAAATTCATGAGAGTAGACAAATGTTCCAGCAGTAACGGATAAAGCCGCAGCTAGAAACATTGTGTAATTCATTGCAAATACGCTACATTGCACCTACATTCCATATTGACTCAACTGATTTTCCCCCCTCACAAGCACATTCCTTACCGAGCACTATTAAACACGCGGCACAAGCATCGTCTGCTCTTAGTGCATTCTGGTTAGCAGTTCGAAGGAAATCATGTGGAGCCTCGTTAAGCTCAGTTTCCTCCTATCCACCGTCTTTCATTCGATCGCGGCAGAGTTCCAAAACCCTTACCATCCGGTGGCCGCCCTGTTCGGTCCAAAGAACAAATTCGTGTGCAATGCCGTTGTCTTGGCCCGGGGTCGAATCCTAACCACCGCCGATTGCCTGTTCCTGCAGAAAAACAAAACCTATGCGCTGGGAAAGCCCGAGGAGTTTCACGTGGCTCTCGAAACTCACTCGATCGAGCAGTTTCAGAATGGGAAAGCCTTTGCCAAAAGTTCAAAATGGAAGTACTTGGAAAAGATGCACCAAAAGTTTAGTGTGAAGTACGATAATAAGTTCGGGAATAATCTGTTCTCCGATAAGCTGAAGGCCGAGGAGGAAAACTATTTGATGAAAGCGCTGCGGTCCGGTGGAATCGATCCCAAGGGAAGGACTAACTACGTTCAAGTGCTGAACTTTTCGATCCACCCAGGGTTCAGAGGACCGTTCAGTAACGACTTGGCAGTGTTGGATATTCCGGATGCATATCCAGCTGATAATTCATCGGTCGTTGAAATGTCTAATGTGAATGTTGAATCGGCCTTCAATCGGGTTGTTCAAGTACATGGCTTTGGAGTATTGAGTCACGGAGCAAATGAGACCAATAGAATGGCGTATTTTAAGGTGCGAACGGTAGAGATGTACCTTATTCCACCAGCTCGTTGTCAGTCTGACCTAGGGGATCTGTTCGAACGCGATCAACATATGTGTTTGAAACCGAAATCGAATGAAACGTTGTGCTTTGTATGTAGTTGTAACCTTGAAGGATTGGAGTGGTCAATTTACTTAGATTAATATCTGTTTCAGGGATTTACCGGGGCACCGATAGTTCTGGATGGAAAGCTGATCGGAATCGTTGAATTTGGCCATCAAAGCTGTAGTCTGGAGGCACCGGTCGTAGGAATCCGTTTGGATGCTTTCGGTGACTTTCTGGGTCTGAAGCCTTCCGGTTTCCTGGATCGTATTCGTGATGCATTTCGAAACTTGATTGAACGTTTGATGGGCGTTCGTTTGTAGGATGATGAGAATCTTCTAATAAATATACATCTATTGTATACATTGACCTTTTTCAGGAAGGTATTGATGCTACCCTCATTTTCAACTTTTTTTATTTTGGCAAAACATAAACCTTATTAAGCTTTGAAACGGAAGATTTACTGAATGCAAAATTGATTGCGGCACTGAGATAAAAAAAAATCATCGCCAGACAAGGTAATCAATTTCAATTTACCTGATACCTTCCTTAATCAGAAGGTGTATCCTACTCCAATATGAAACACTTTCAAACCACCCATCTTCCCTTAAATATGGGTCTGATTGAGTTATCTCTTCCGACAACTTTACCGAACTTCTTTGCCAATGGTAGAATTTGACTAAGTTCAATTACACGTGCGTGTGACCACTCGATAGATTCACGCCAACGTTCCACTTCGAATGTCCAGGCAGTCTTTTAAATTTACATCAGTTTTGCCATCCACTCGTCAGTCGGTCGCTTCCATCCATTCAGCTGTCAAGCTTGTTCCACATCCGGGTGAAACGAGATGGGAGAGGGCCAGAATGTGTCTGTGCACTAAATTCAATGTTCGTCAAATTGGGTGAAAGGTTCAACAGAGGGAGCTCCTCAAGCATTTTGTGCAGTTTGCTTTTACCTAGGTGAAAAATGCAATACTGAGCGGAGCGATTGATTGTGATTGATTGCGGCGGGTTTGGGTAAAGGTTTTGTAATAATAAAAATTCCGTTGGGATAGTCTTTTTAAAGTAGCCACTGTAAACCGTCGTAAACTGGTTGCTTCGTGCTATCTTGTCTTTGATTAACCTTTACCTACCGAACCTTCTTCTCTCAAGAGATATTGCAGTTATTTTGACAGTTCACATTTTTAAGAAACATGTTCCAATAAATCAGGATTATTGTATTAACTTATTATTGTCTGAATAAGTGGAGGTGGGTGGGTTGATCACAATTTGCGGAAGAGCGCAAACGAAATCTGCAAGCAAGCACTAGATTGGAAACCAGCAGCAAGACATTGCAGCAGAGGCAGGCCCAGGATTGTATTACCGCCTCAGAAATGGTGCTTGTCACATAGAATCACAAATGTCACATTGCACAAAAACAGAAATTATGGTATGGTAGAAGAATGGTATGCTGCAAACAATGTTAATTTCGTCGCCAAAGAGATTAATCCTTCGAACTGCCCTGAGTTCAGACCGATCGAAAAATATTGGTCAATTGTCAAGCGAAAACTTCGAGGATGCGGTAAAGAAGTGACAAATGCACAACAAATGGGTTTAAAGTGGAATAAGTTCGCCGGTACAGTGTCACCAGCGACTGTGCAGATCATGATGGCATCGATCACAAGTAAAGTGTGACAGTTCGTTCGAAACGGTGAAATGTAATAAGTTTTTTATATATCGTTTGAAAGCTGAGTAAATACCCTTTTGTTTGACGTTTTGATCAACCATGTATGTTGTTTAATTCTTGAGTTATGATCACTTGAATGCGCCCAAATTTACTTTGAATCGGGCTTTACTGTGTCAATACTTTCAGCTTTTGGATGATTTCAGCAATTCTAACAAGTTATTTGCTTTATATAATTTATTTAAACATGTGATTCATAGCCATTCTAGTACATTAAATAAATTCTAGATGATCATACTGACCGATTTTTACGGGAGATTGGCACATCACATTGATTTCAATAGCATTATGTTAAAAACTGGATTTTTTTAGGCATTCCAGATTTTTCCAGATTTTTCTGAAAATGACCTGGCAACGCTGGCTGTCACCTTGCCGGGGACTTTGTCGAAACACACAACAGTGCGAGGGGGGCGACACATCTAAAATGCCATGTAGATAGCAGCCACGATAAATGTCCTTTTTTGGATCAGTGTAATTTTGTCAGATTTCTCTCCACCTTTCACTTTCGTTTTCGCTGCATCTACTTTTCCATGCTGCAAAAGATGCAAAAGATAGAAGTGGATTTTGAAATTTTGATATCAACACAGTAATCGGGATGTTGCGAGAAGGGTGTGAGTGTGAAGTGAAAAATTATTATTTTATCATATTGTTATGTGTAATTTGAAGAGGTATCAGCAGTGATAAATGTTATTATCGGATCCACTGTTGATCACTTTTGAGATTAATCATCGCTTTTAACAGTTCTCGGAGATTCTGCAAGAATACGAATAATCGCTCCGACCTTGTGCAGCCAGCGTACTGGATCAGTTCTTTTGCTTTTTTAGAGAGACTTTCAGCCCTTAGCTGGTTCGTCTACAGTTTGGATCAGTTGAATGTTGTCTGCCTATGAGTTTGCTTTGGAGGAATTACTGCAGGAGGAATACGTTCAGTTGTTCGTCGAAAAACAGGACAGTTTCTGATGGTTGGTAAGATTAACCAATGAATTGTATGGTAATTCTTTATCTTCACTTTAGAGAAACTGATCAAGATGTTGTAGGTATCGCCAAATAAATGCACTCGACGTTAAGGAATTTGTATGCAATACAAAAGACTACCACCTACGAAGAATCTGCTAGAAAAACTACTCAGTGAGATGATTTTGGAAGAGTCAAAACCGGTGGAAGTTGCTGTCAACAAGAAGTTATGGATTTGATCGAGGTGTGGTTCATGTGTTATTTGGTCATTATTGATAATACCGAAAGGAGTTGATTGATCAGCAACAGCTCCTGCCCATGCATGATAATATTTCTGAATTCCTAAATTATACTTAAATATATAATTCATTTGAACAATAATGACGTTACGCTCATTTCTAAAAGATAATATTCCAGAAGACCCGACGACCCGAATAGTTCGACGAGTTTGATCACTAGTATAATGTGTCTAGAGATCTGCAGAACAACTCCACAGCAGCCGGACTGGTTATTCACATTTTTTCTAGGATGTTGGCCACCAATGTATGACACCCGAACAATTTGCTACATTCTCATGACGACCGAATACTGGCTGGATATTTACAATATAAAAATGTGAAAGAGCTACATTAGCCTAGTGAACCTCTTCGATATAAACGACCTCTATCATCGAATCACAACAACATCCAAATGTTTGTCTTGGATCTCGATACGGGTTTACTATTACAGACATTCATTCATAAGCTGATAGAAATTTACGTTGGTAATCAGAGCAACAATGAAAACCTAACATTCTATAGATGCAGTATGAGCAGAGTTTGGTGAAGTTGATGTTTTAAGTCACAGTTCCGTTACTGTTCGAATATTATAATGATTCATATTTCGTCTCTTGAAGATAAATATAAGTGCATCAAATGTTGGTGGCCGATAAAAAAAAGGTTCAACGTTCAACCAACTGTGCAGTTTCAAATTTCTTGCCACTTCGTCCTTGATTTCATCTACAGACAATAACCGCGTTCAATGTTGCGGTGGTTGTCCGAGGAAAAATAAGATTGTCTCAGTGAAAGTCAGATGGGATTGACAGACCTGGAATGGACGAGAATTACTTGGTTGTAATCATGTTGTAACATTGTCCCGATGATATCAATACATGTATTGAAGTAATTGTTTGTTCTAGCTTCTAAGCGCAGCAAAAACATTAGAATAAAAATCGCTGTTTTTACGCACCTATGCGTACACAAATGCAGAACTGCAGTTAAAATTAATTGAAAGTTTGTACTCAGAACTTGATACATCTTCGAGATAATTAGTCTAGTTTCGTTGCCTTGTATTTAATCTAATTAATCAAATCTCACTCTGACTATGAACACAAATTACCTCCATTTAGACTTTCTTAAACATTTTGTTATGCACTATCAATAGACATCTACTTTCATAATGTGTGATAAAACAAGAACTACATTCTTGAAAAATAAAAGCATCAACTTTGTAATTTTCATTTCTAAAATTTAATCCTTTTAAACCTATTTAAATACTTTTTTAAATATATACTTTCACTGATACCAACCACAGAAAATGCAAGCTTTGTTTTCCTTGGCTAGGATTGAACTTAGACCCATTGGTGTGATAAAGCAGTCACGATTACCACGCAATCACCGACGCCGTCTAAGTAAAGAGTTATATTTCTGAAAAATAAATCTAATCTGTACTTGTTGAATATTATATAACCGTATTGGCTTCATACTCTAAATAGTGCTGATTATTGGTGCTATGGTGCCGGTGGTTATATAAATGTTTCATGTTCTAAGGAACTTACATATAACCTGAAACAGTTATGTGTACACTGACAACCTAGCCATACGCCGAATTATGTCTGAATTGATATTGATTAGACGTAGCACCGTAGTCCGATGAAGTGGTCCGTAGTTTTCATTGATGTAGCTGGTCGAGTTCACCACCACCACTAGTCCATCAGCTTTTGTATAAAGCCATTCCTACGATGGCTTGAAGTGGCGATTGATTCCTTAAAAAGTAAGAAAAACATGGATTTGTGTTTCGTGCAACTGTTTCAGCGACGTAAACAGGCTATAAATAGTAGAAAACCTCTTCATGTTCGTCAGAAACCTTGATGTTTTGTGCGAAGATATTGTTGCTGGGATTTCGTTTCCTGGGATTGATAGGGCAGCTGTTCATGACCATTTCTAGCGAAATACATCTACTGAAGATTAATGTGCACATAGAGATATTTCCCTTCCGGAATCAGGTATTTTATAAGGTGGTTAGCAAGGAATTCCATCTCATCAAAGTAGTTACCATCCGAGTCATCATTCTTCACAACGTCCAGCGGTTCATTGTCCATCGGATCACTCGATTTTGTCGAAATAATCAGTTTTTATATAGTGACAATTTAATGAGCTCAACTGTAAGGGGATATTCTGTTTGATTTTCTCACCATGATAAGAAGTAGCATCTATTAAAGATGACTAAGCAAATATGCAAAAACAGCAGAAATACACGTCCTTTCATGTTTTAATCGGCAAATTAACACAGCAGAAACCGCAGAAAACATCAAAACCTGAGACACCAAACCATAAACAAACACAAATTTGACATTGCTTTCTTTTGTTGCTTCTGTGTTTTGTTCGTTCGTTTGCGGAGCGATGCGATTAGGTGCAGGCGGTGCAAATAGATGTGCGAGTAGATGTAAAAATTCGAGAAGTGTGAGACTAGATGGCACAGTTGAGAACAGATGA